CTCTTAAATTGAGTAGGATTATTCAATGTCGCAGAATATCCTAATCTTTTAATATCAAGGCATAATTGTTCATCTGAGACGAAATTTTCAAACCCAGTCGGTCCAGGAGCAGGAAGACGAAGTATTCTTCTTAATCTTTTAAATGTCAGACGACTGACATATTCATCGACCTCTCCTTGAAGATATAAAGCATCTCCATCCTTTTCAAATGTAAGAGTACCCCAAAACTGTTGCAGGTACACCATAGGAACTGGTGTATTGGCAGATAAGGCATATGAAATGAGGTGGCCTTTCAGGATTTTTGGTATGATAGGGTATTCGGCTGTCATATCTAAAGAGAAGTTATGGTTATTCGGTTTGATTTCGAGATATTGAAATTGAGGAAAAAGGGTTTCAGAGGCAATGGATTGGTTAGGTAAATGGGCTTGTATATTGTCAGATCTGACAGCGGGAACATGAGATTCCTCGTCAGACTGATGTCTAGGATCCGCCATTTACCTGTAAAGAATCTGAAATATTAATACCCATTTTATTCAAGTGAAAAAATTGAATTAAAAAAAATTCACACACATTAAAAAAAATTATACTAAAAAAAATTATACTAAAAAAATTTAAACTAAAAAAATTTAAACTAAAAAAAATGAAGAAAAAAAAGCAAAACACTTAGAAATTTTTTTTAAAAAAAAACTGATTGATCGGATTAGTAGTCCGGACAACACACAAACACTTAAGACTATAAAAATATTGTGTCCGGATTAGAAGTCCGGACAACAAGACAAAATCACACACAAAGACTAAGTCTTAAACCGGACAATCATCAATCGGTTTAAGGTTGATTGGATTAAAGTCCGATCACCTTGTCCGGTGAGATATCCGTTCAAAACACGATACAAATACAATCATAAAATACGCAAAATAAACAAAAATACACAATACGTACTCACTCGAAATCTAAAAATACACAAAATACACCAAAAAGCAATGTCAAATATGAGTTATTGAGTGTTACAGGATCGATTATGAAGGTTATGTTCATTTTAAGTCAAATCAGTCCATAATATCAATAAGAATCGAAACAATCAATGAATAACGAAAGAAATCAAATGATCGATTCAAAACCTTGACTAGAAGTGATGAACAGTAGACGAGATTGATATGATGTAATCAAAGAACCAGATTTGAGCGGAGAGATTGAGCGGAGACGATGATGAACAGTGTAGGAAAGTAAAAAGTAAAAATGAAAAATGAGACGGTTATTTATAGTCAAAGTTAAAAACC